TTATTATTATTGTTATTGTTATTGTTATTGTTATTATTATTAACTGTAAAACTTCCTGGGTAAGAGTCAGGTCCCTACATTTGTTTTACAACTGATGACCTAACTTTTTTAGTGTTTTGTTTTTGTTGTTTTTTGCAGGATGGAACAGGTTGAATAATTAAATAGTAAGATAGTATTACTTTTCAGCCAGAAGAGACACCAGTCTTACACCTATTGCTTATAAATAAGACTTAGATTTAAAATTATAAAATTACGTCCGTAGTGCACAGTTGTCCTACGTTCTTTTCCTATCATTCTGCTCAGCTGAAACCATGCTGATTACAGCTTGCTATTCACAGACATCCCAGCCTCATTCAGAAGACAATCCTGGCCGGTAAAACGGGTTTAGCTCTACTTTTACCATACTGTAAATCAGTACTACAGAGCCAATGAGGGTGCCTTTCATTTTGTGATCATCCGTGGCAGTCTGTGAAAGTCTACAGACATGAGCTTTCAATCCCACTTTCCATCTTGCATACTAAATTAGTACTGTGGAGATGATTTTATTTGATGTGACAATCCAGCATGGAAGTCCAATGGCACCTGTAGCATTCAGAAAAATAATAAAAAAAATAATTGTAATAACAAAGAGTTGTCATGTATCAAGAAAACCTACCAGTGAGAGTTTTCCTACTAAAGTGCAGCTGACTGACTGACTACTAGGACAGCTTGAAATCTAGCAAATGAGCATGTAATTATTCCAACTGCCTATTTGATATGGATCATACAAAAAACAAAATAAAGTTGCCAGGTAATTTACACGTCTCATACAGATGTCAGGCCTTACTTTCAAGGACCAGTACAATATTCAAAGACTTTTTAAAGGACAATTCAGCAATATTCATATATGTTATTGGCCGGCTGGGAGGTCCGTATAGTGAAAAACTGTGCCCGAGGTCACAGTTTTTCACTATACGGACCGACCCTAAGCCGGACAATAACATGTTTATCTTTTTTTCTTGCGGTAAATTGGCTTACTAGTGGGTTTGTTTTCGCGGCTTTGTCATTGAATTGGCTTACGCGCCGTCTGCAGACTCTGCAAACCATTCGTAAAAAATCTAACGAGAGAACGGGCGAGTAACTCAGATACTAGACAAAGAAAGATGTATTAAAGAACAGATTTATACCGCACTACTTTATGTTAGTCGCATTTAGTTCACCATTTAAGTTCTCCAAAAGTGTTTTTCCGGTGTGAAATTTCGTGCAAAGGTTGAAGGTCTACTACAAAAACAAATTCTGTCAGTCGTTGCGAATCACTCCAAATCAGACTTTTCTACAGTAAATTGAGTAGCAGATAGCGAGGAAATTCGTGAAGTGTATTCCACAGAAATTCTCTCAAATCCGGCAACGATCGGAGAGGTAAACTCGACTGAAATTGACTCATTTTGTACTTAAAATTGTACAGAGAGAGACAGGCAGGATTACGCGCCATTACAGCGCCGAGCTACAAACAGCCAAACAAACTTTCACAACTTCAAAAAACTCAATTGAATTTACTTACAGTGACTTTCCTTGCCATTTAAAGGTGAATAGAAATAAACTTGCGTTGATTAATCGGCTATGGAAGTGTAAAATGGGCAAAAGATTGACGATTACCGCTAATTCGTTCACGGAAATAGATCAACTCGACGGATTCCGCCCGCTGTGGCGGTCCGGATGAGAAAATTCCACCCGTTCCGGGAACCAATCAGATTGCAGGATTTGTTGAATTCCGCCCGCTCACGAGCTGAGAAGAAGATAAAAGAACTTATTTCCCTCAGAATCACATGCAAAGATTGCTTTGGTGGAGGGGGGCGGGGGGGGGGGGGGG